TCGAACCTCCGAGGAACGGAGAAATTAGTTTGAGTTAGCGAATGTTCAAATTATCGAGTGATTTTTTATGAGAAACTGGTTCAACGGGGGTTTTAAAATACTTCGAGTTACTGGAAGTTCGAGTTATCGAAAGTTTATGTATATATATATATATATATATATATATATATATATATATATATATATATATATATATATATATATATATATATATATATATTTAACAATAAAATTGAAAAATTACAGATTTATTAATAAGTTGAAAAATTAAGTTCGGTGTCACTCGAATAGTTAAAAATTAATCAATGGAGAGACACCTTAATAAAATAAACAAATAAAGCAAAACAATTAACAAAAAGTAATAATATAATAAGTTCTGTGTCACTCGAATAATTAAAAACTAGTCAATGGAGTGACACTTTAATAAAACAAACAAATAACAAAAAGTAATATAAAAAGGAAAACAAACAAATAACAAAAATTAATAATATAGATAGCAAAAAAAAAAAAAAAAAATAGCTCGAAAAAAGGAAAAAGTGAGCTGATATGAGGAGATAATTAATGAAAGAGATAACGCAATGTTTAACGATCAAAAGGGTGATAGAAAATTACTATAAACACGTCAATATAAACGATGCACAAAATTACATGACAGTATAAACAAAACATAGAAATACACGACAATATAAAAATACACAAAAATACACAACAAAATAAACAATGCAAACAACATAAATTAATAAAATTTAAAAATTATTCTTTTTGTTTTCTTTTAAAAGCTTTCTAAAGTTTTTTATTTTCGAATATCTCACGAAAATTTTTTTCTTTTAACTTTGCTTTTAGCTATTCTGTTTATTTAATGTTTTTCTTCAATTTATATTCTTTAATATTTTCATTGTTTTCACTAAATCTTCTATTCTAAACATTTGTTATTTGTATTTTTCCTCCTTTATCTATTTTTCAGCTTTTTTGCTGTTAAAATAATACTTCCTCCGATTGCAATCTGATTGCAAAGTGTTGATATATATATATATATATATATATATATATATATATATATATATATATATATATATATATATATATATATATATATATATACATATATATATATATATATATATATATATATATATATATATATATATATATATATATATATATATATATATATATATATATATATATATATATATATATATATAGGGCCGGCGCGAGTAGGTGTCATGTGGGGGGGGGGGGGGGGGTGTGCCATTACAACTTTTGCCGACTAAAAAAAAAAAAAAAAAAAAAAAAAAAGTCCTCATTTTTCAAACTTTGCCGACTGTCATGACGACATTTGCCGACTGTCTAACCTATATCGAAAGAGTTCACATTTGCCGACTAACTAGGTCCAATTTGCCGACTAAGAGTCCAATTTGCCGACTAAGGGTCCAGTTTGCCGACTAAAAATCATTGATGGGGGGGGGGGGTGTCACACACCCCCCCACACCCTCCTATCGCGCCAACCTTGTATATATATATTTATGTATATATATATATATATATATATATATATATATATATATATATATATATATATATATATAAATATATATATATATATATATATATATATATATATAAATATATATATATATATATATATATATATATATATATATATATATATATATATATATATATAAATATATATATATATATATATTTATGTATATATATATATATATATATATATATATATATATATATATATATATATATATATATATATATATATATATATATATATATATATATATATATACTGTGGCTGTGGCGCAGTGGTTAGAGCGCTTGCTTTATATGCAGGAGTTCCATTCGAAACAAGCTCTGGAAATATTTTCGCGTCAAGGTAAGGAAGGAGGCGTGAACTTTCTGGTTAAATGCACTTTCGCGGTGCTCTATGAAACACCCGTTAGGTCTTCTTGGGGTATCTAAAATAACAGAACAAAAAAAAAACATAAAAATTTATATCGGCACGGATCCAGCTTTTTTTGTTTTTTGAAACTCCTCATTTTTACTTCCAGACATAAAACAAACTCCAAACATTTATATGTTTATACGTAATAAAATAACGACGGTTTACAAAAGTTACGATGATTAGAGCCTGGGAACAAAAAGCCCTAAAATTTTGACCACAACTACCCCAAACGTGAGGGCAGCAAGTTGAGACAATATTTTTTTAACTATTTTCAACTAAAGTTATATTCATCGATAAAGTTTAAATTTCAAAGTATAATCTCTCAGCGTTTAAAAATTATGACCATATAAAATTTAAATCCCTCTCAATTTGAGGGAGTTACAAACTTTATATGGCCATTACTTTTGAATGTTAAAAGATTATTGTATGAAACTTAAGTATTTATCAATGAATATAACTTTAGTTCAGAATAATATAAAAAATATTTTGTCAACTTATTGCTCTCACGTTTGGGGCAGTTGTGGCCAAAATTTTAGGGCTTTTTGTTCCCAGGCTCCAATCATTGCAGTTTTTTGCAAAGGATTCTTATTTGACATAAGTATAAACATAAAAAAATTTGACGTTTGCTCATGTCAGAAAGTTATCTATCATAAACACCAAAAAATGGTGGATCCACCCCTGATATATGTATATATATATACATATATCATAGGATCCACCCCTGATATATGTATATATATATATATATATATATATATATATATATATATATATATATATATATATATATATATATATATATATATATATATATATATATATATATATATATATATATATATATATATATATATATATATATTGCTCCATAATTTTAATAAACATTTATTTATATAAAATAAGATTTATTACTTATAAAATTTTTTATTAAATATTTGTTTTAATCTCATCTCCTCAAAAAAATGTTTCAATTTAGGAGCCAAGGTAAAAGGGGAAGGTGTCTAGAACCCTTTTTTTTTTTAGGAATGGTAACTTAATGTTTTTTTTTTTTTTTATGATCAAAGTAGCTTAACTTTAGAAGTAACAATTTAGTTTCCTACGAGAGTGTCCATTAGACGAATAAAAAAAATAAACTTTGAACAAAAATTTGAAATAAGAATATCTTTTTATGTCATATTAATAACAGAATCGAAAATCGCAGAACAAAGAATGTTACTAAAACACTGCAGTCATTTAGAGTAAATGCCATACCAATCAATATGAAAATCTGAAAATACAACTTAACAAAAGAACGCATAGGATCAAGTTTCTTTCATAGTGGTATTTTAAACGGTTTAGTAACTTTGAATACAATGTTGGTTGAAACACAATGTTGGTTCATTTTTTTAGATTTGTGTGAGTTTTTATGTTAAAGTTTGGTCTCTCAAATAATTTTTTATCGTTTAATCAAAATGCTGTTATTTTGTGTTTCTATTGTTCAAGAAAAATCAAGAAGCGAGGAAACGTATATAACCAGTCAGAATAAAAATATATCAGATATTTTAGTACATCTTAACTATCTTGGCAGACAAATATTTATTTTGCATGAAAATGATAACAGTGACAACAAGTTATAACCTAATTAATTACAAAAAATTAAACCATAGGTTTAGTCACCACAATATGGCAGATAATAAATAACAAAATCAGACAATTTTTTCATTGTTTGGAAAATAATTAACAATAATTTAAACGTTGCCGTAAAGTTTGAGACTTACTGGAGTAAAATTGTTTTTGTTTAGACAATCAAAGATATTATAGTTAGATTTTTTTTATCCTAGTTAATTAACCAGATCAAACGTATGATAGCGCTTGCAAAGCAATAAATAGGCAATCTGAATCTTTAACCAAAACAAACAAAACTATTACTTTTGAGCTTTAGATAATCGGTATTGTGTAAGTCGCTACCAAGACTTACAAGAATGGTCTGTCATCGGATGGTGTAGTACCGTTTATATTCAATTGTCAATGCCATCAGCATCAATTTAATACCGATTACAAAAAGTTTCAAATGGTATCAAATAGTCGCATAATCTCGTTTTATATCGATAAAAAAATGAAAATGTGAACTCATAAATCTATTATGAACAAAATAAAGTAAGCTTTTTAAAGGTTTAATAAATGTTTTTAACAAAACAATACTAGACGAGAATTATAAATATGTTGCCACCAGAGATTTAGTTAAAAAAAAGAGACCAGATAAGCGAGGCTACACGATAAATTAAACTAAAACTGCAACACTAATTTAAAAATGAATTAAGAGAGTCGTTTTCACATAATTATACTAAAATTTCGGTAAATTATGATGTCTTACGATACTACGTGATTATTGATTATACGATACTACGCGGTTTTTGAGAATTTCAACTACACTTGTTTAAGTAAATTATATAGCTCTCAGTTATTATATAAATTTACTGTTTTAAATTACTAATCTATTATAATAATAAAAAAATGCAAACTCTTGTGAAGAACCAAGCTGCGTTACTAAATAACACGGTTGGTACCTAAAGAATACCGGTATAACCAATATCTTGATACCAGTATTTCATGATCTCGACGTCAATACTGTTAGGTACCTTATCAATACCAGATGATAACCAAGATAGATACTTATTATCTAACACTTAACTACTTTGCAATGTCAAGATGGTTCATTGTGATTAGTCGTCATTTTTTTGATGAAACTATGAGTAACTCATTACTCGAAAAGTTTAAGAAACATAATCTATATATATATCGTTAATAATTAGCCACAATAAATTAGAAAATAGAACAACACTTTTTTTTTTGATCTCTCCAAATATAATGAAATATAAGTACTCGCTTTAATTTAGTAATAGACGTGGAGAGAGGCAGCTTGTCCTCTTACCGCGCTCCCGCTTGAGCAAGCATATACAAACAAAAATAAAACATCGATTAAAAGAAACGTTTAAAAGCATTTTTTTTACGGAAACTCATATAGAGAATTACGTTTTTTATTATCATTAATAATTCATTCAAATACTTCAAGCCCATATACACGCTTCTAATAACTTCGAGTTAACAAAATATAAACTTATTAATGAACAATAATGGCGGTTAAAAATTTTAAAAGTTTTTGCTTGAATTACGTTTTAAAGATTTATAACATTTAAAGATGAGTTTTTATCTTATAAAACAAATATGTTAAAAAATTCCTCTAGTAATTCTTCCGAGAGATGGTCGAAGGCATCTAGCGATAGCGATGCCTCGTTTGTTTCGGGATCTTCATCTACTTCCCATGGTATGGTTTGACAGCTCTATATTATTTTTAACGTTTGAACACTAAACTACATATCATTATTAACAAGAGATATTTTTTGAATTATTGCTACAAATCTTATATAGGCTTAAAAATTGTTTTTAACTGAATCTGACACTTTTCTAAATTTATCTAAAATCTACAACTGCTCATTAAATTTGGTCTTTAAATTATTAATAAAATGAAGTAATAATATAATTTATTTTCTACTGTATATACAAATGTATATACTGTATATACATATACATACATATGCATACATATGCATACATATATATATATATATATATATATATATATATATATATAATATATATATATATATATATATATATATATATATATATATATATATATTTCCATAAAAACCAGGTTAAAGCAATTAATTTAAATTAATTATATAAACTTAAAGTGTTGTCTTAAAATTTTTTTTAAAAAAAAAAAAGGATACTGAAGAAAATTTTTATTGTTGTTATTTTTGTCTTACAAGCTTATGTACTGTATATCTAAATTCAAAATCTTAGTCATAATATATACTAAAACTTGCACCTTATTTTAAGTTAAAGTTTGCAATTTATTTTTATTTTATTAAGACAACTTTATCCAAATTAGTTTAGACTTTTAAATACATACATACATACATGCATACATACATTTAAAATGTAAAAAAAAAACAATTTTTTAAAATGTCTTATTGTTTCTCCAGCAATTATCAGCTATTGAATACAATTTAAACTGCAAAAATCATTTAAAAAATCAAAGTTACATTAGTAGGAAATCTAAAATTGCAAAGCAAAATAAATCAAAGAGACCATAAAGTTGTTATTCCCTAATGTTGAATAAAGAAAACAAGAATCTCTTCTAATACCAGCACTTTGATATTATTTCGTCTGTATTTTTTTTTTTACTTGTGCCAGTTTTGTTTTATGTCAAAATTATTTTTATGTGTAATTATTGCTAAGAATTATTAAAAAGGAAAACAATTTTACAATTTTTAAATGTTTAAATAGTTATAATTAAAGATAAGGTTTCAGGATTTATATAAAACTTGTTTAAATATAAATAAATTTAAACAAGTACCATTTTCTAGAGAAAAACAAATAGATCTCGTTAGAATATTTTATTCGAATCGATAATTTCATATTAAATTCTGCAAATTAAGTTAAATAAGCAACAAACGAGAATTTAAAATTATTATGGTAAAAATATAATATTAAAAAATAATGAAAACATTTATAAATTTAAACAAAAAGTAAAATCAACAAAAAGAAGAATAAATAAATGTTTTAAAAGAAGAAAAGAAAAAAGAAATATCTGAAAAAAAAATAAGTAAAAAAGTATTGAAAATAGACATTAAAAAAAAGTTAGTGAATGAAATAAATAAAAAGAATGGAAAAAAAAAGAAAAAAAATACAATTTGATCATTGAAAAAAGATCAGCAAACCAAGATTTATTTTTTCATATATTTCTTTAGTTTCTTTCCATATATTTCTTTAGTTTTCTTTCATATATTTCTTAGGGTTCTTTATTTACGATTTATTTTTTAGTTATGCTGTTATGTAGTGTTGTAGTAATGATTTTTTTATTTAGTTTTTTAGCATATAATTTTTAGCATAAACTTATTATTTTTTGTTAGTAATTTAATGTTTTATTTTTTAGTTATTAATTATTTTTTAATTGTGATATATAAATTTTTTATGCAGTTATATATTATTTGTTTTTATTTTTAACTTAGCCATTGATTATATATGTTTTATTCTACCGTGTATTATTATTATTTTTTCTTTATTATTGTTTTTATTTTTAATTTTATATTGTTTTTTTTTTTTTCCAAAAGTACTTAACATAATTTTTTGTTTTGTCTGTAATGTTTGTTATAACTTTAGTTTTGTTTTGATTTTCTTAGTGTTTTTCTTTTTATATTTTATTTATTTGTTTAGTCATAATATCTGCAAAATATTTTGGTTACTATATGATAAGAATTATGATTATATATTTACTAAATCTTCATAATTTTATAGCATTAGTTGTTTTTATATCATCGTTAGTTGTTACGTTTTGTCAGTTTATTACTGTTTGTAACTGTAGCTTTTATGTAAAACTTCAGAAATATATTGATTGATCAATTATAAACATAAAACCTAAAGTTTAAAATTGTATATAAAATTGTACTTTTTTCAAAATAATTTTTTTTTCTATAGAGTATAAAAGATTTTTTTACTGACATCAGTAAGTATAAATTAGGCTGGTACAGTCAAGGAGAGATCTTTTTTTTTTTAATTTCTATTCTATTGACCAAAACGTGAACTATTTCTATTCTATTGACCAAAACATGAACCATGACAAACAAGGTTGTTGTAAAAAACAAGTTGAGTAAGCAATTTTAATTTTGTCCCAGCCAAAATTTAAGGATTTAAACAATCCTTTCTAAACTAAAGGTGTTTTAAATTTGTAAATTTGACTAAGTCATAGCTTTAAAATGTCAAGAAATTTTCTGATAAAATTTGAATACAATCAATGATTTTTCTATTTAGTTGAAAATAGCTCATAATTTTTTTTTTTAATATTACATTCACTTGTAGTCTGGAGAGGCCAAATGTTTTATTGCATTTTAGATCTAAATCTCTAATTATTGTGATTATTTTCTGAAATATCTTCATATTAGACTTAAGTGTAAACATACAAAAGATTTAAAAATTTGCGTCATATTCTTAAATTACCTACATACTTGGTTAAAAAAATATAGCATTTTCAAAAATAACTTTTTACAAAAGAATTTATTCAAAAAATGAAAATAGTTTTTAGTGATAACAGTGATTATATGGACCTTGGTAAGTTATCAGTGGATAAAAGTGAACTTAATACAGACTGGGAATATGAAGAGAAAGACATACAAATTATTGTAGATTCTTATTTAGCTATATCTGATAGTTTTTACAATAGTCACTTTCCTTCACTAGACTTCTATTTATTTAAGTATCTCAGGCTTTTACAATGGATATTGATAAAGGCAAAACTAAGGAAGGAGAATCTAGTAGTGAGGAAACAGAGTATGAGACCTTTTTATCTGATTAATTGATTGATTCCACCTGAGGGTGTGTAGTAAAAATAAAACTGTTGGATTTACTAAAATAAGTAGACAAAAAGAAAAAGTATTTACACTAGAGGTGGTAAAAGAAAGCCATACGGTATAAGAGGACATTTCAGTGTTTGAGTTGCAAAATGTAATGGTCAATCAGGTCTAGATCAACAGAGAATTAAGTTGCAATCAACGTCAAAACACGTTAAATCTGATAATTTTTTTCCACATTTACTATTATTTGAAGTAATGGCACTTAAAGTAAGGATGGTGCATGAAAATCTCCTCTAGATTTAGTTCAACTATATATATTATTGTTTTACAAATAAAAAAGTTATTTTACCACTTTAATATTCTTAAAAATTATGACATCTGTCATGATTTTTGAATGTGTTTTTACAAATAATTTTCAAGTGAGTAAATGATGAAAACCATTACATTACATTATGAGTAAGTAATGTAATGGTTTTTTAGTAATAAAGAAAGAAAAACATAAATTCTACAAAGTTTAATAATTAATAGAACAATTGAAAGCCGTTGCTTCTGCCCTGAACAAGATCTTCGTGTTGACAAATCTTTTGTTCATTTTAAGGATACACTGGATATATTGATAGAACATTTTTCAGGCAAAGGCCATATACATTATACAGGGAACTATTATACAACCCATATATTAGTAACTTTTCTCTTAAAAATAAATATTTCTGAGGAACAGTTATATCAAATAGAAAAAAGTACTGTACTCTTGAGTCCTTAATACAAGGGAGGGGGTATTTTAGTCCAAACCTAATAAACAGGGGTAGGGTGGGGGTAGTGAAATTTTTTATGTTACAATCTAAGTATATTTTATAAAAAATTTCAGTTCATAAATCCAAACTAACATTTTTTGCAAAACACACAAAAAACTATTTAATTCTAGCGTGGCTTGCGGTCATATGCACATTTTCGAACAGCTGTTTTATAATAATTAAATAGGTTATACGCTGATATAAGTTTTATACTTTGGTGAGAAATAAACCAAAAGCTCGTTTTCAACAAATCGGGGGGGGGGGCTGCTGCCCCTTCTTTTGTTATGAACTTGAGAGTAAAGAAATTGCTGTGTTTACATTTGAAAAAGAAGATGTATTCTATTGCTCCACATTATGTGAAGCAATTCAAAACCCTATGACGATTCGTGTATTATTGCTTGTAATTATTGCTCAGTCAAAATTAAGTTAAAAAATAAACAGAGTTGTGTATATATTGTCAACTTGCTATTTAGTTAAAATGATTGAGACTGATAAAACCAATACAAATAGTAATTCTACAATATACAAGCCATCAGTAGTACTCTCATATAATAGTTACACAAGAGAGGTTGACCAACAGTCACATAGTTTCCACACATTACGTAAAACATAGTTTCCACACATACGTAAAACATTTCAGCTTTAGTAATAATCAATCCAGCTACAGCACCCAAATAAATACTTGATGAAACAGTGTCTAGTCTTACCTGCAGACAATTTATATCAATTAAAGTAGATACACCAGATGCAGCAGTTTAAAGAGTTGTTAGTCAATTTTGCTCACTTTGTTATTCAGTTTTGCCCACCTGAACCAGTGTTTCGCCCAGAAACTTGTTTAAAAGCTTACA